CGGGCAGGAGAGCGACTGGGTGTCTCGTCTAGGAGAGGACCTCGTGGCCTTCAACATAGGAGACGAAAAGGAAGACGGGAAATGGAAAGAGAGCGCCAAGGACCCGGAGATGTAGTACAACAAGGTCGAGGACGGGGCGGCATGGTTCATGAGGAAATGGCACAGGCAGGAGGCGGAAGCGTCCGCGAAGCGCCAGCGCGCGAGGGAAGCAGAAGCAGAGAGTACGGTCATCTCAGGACCGAAGCGAAAGAGAGTCGGGGAAGCGGCGGTGGGGGGGAAGAAACGGCGACCGGGCACTGCTGTAGAACGAGTAGGGCGGCCGAGGCAGCACTTGTGGCGAACTATGTACCCGGCTGATGTTGTTGCGCCCTGTGTTCCTCCCTGCTGTATGCTATACTCCTTTATGTATGTCCTTTGTATTGTCTTCGGCCTCTGTGCTGTGTTTCTGTTTTCATGTCCTCCCTGCCTTCTCTGCTGTGTTGGGTACCTTGATCTCGCTCTTGCTGTTGCTTTTGTTTTTGTACATCTGGCTGTCTGCCCATCTGCCGCCTCTTTGTCCTGTTTGCTCCGCTACTCCCATGCCCCGGTGTGTACCTGGTGCTGGTACGATACCCTTTGATTTTTTCGTTAGGCGGGTGTGGGAAGGGCTACCCCTATTTGCACGACGCACTTGCAAATAACAACTTGCACGACTCAAACGCTTCCAGAACCACACAACCAGAAACCCACTTTCAAACTCAAAACAAGCAGCGAAACACACAGCCCAGCNTGGGTGTGGGAAGCGTCCTCCTTTATTTTTGTTTTTGTTTTTATGTTGATCGGTTTCCGAGGGCTCTTTTCTCGAACGGTCGGTGCGGTACCTGTTATTTTCTTTCGATCATATTGTTTTGTTTTTCCGAGTGGTTTGTACCCTATTTTTGTTTTGTTTCCCCGCGGCGTCGTATGTGCCGTGTGTTGAGACCACGGGCTCCCCATTTTTTGCGGACTATAGAGCTAATGTGAGAAACAACAACAACAACAAACAACAACATGCGGCTGCTGCTGCTGCGGTTGCTGCTGTTATGCTCGGAATGTGCTGCAANTGTGTTGAGACCACGGGCTCCCCATTTTTTGCGGACTATAGAGCTAATGTGAGAAACAACAACAACAACAAACAACAACATGCGGCTGCTGCTGCTGCGGTTGCTGCTGTTATGCTCGGAATGTGCTGCAATGGTCGTTCGGTTATCGTAGTCAGGTTTGACAACAGTCTGCTCGTTCGCATTACGGTAGCGGTGCGCATCTATCGCGACGGCAAGCGCATTGAGATAATACTTCGTCCGTCCTTTTTCTAGTCTACACAGTTAGCCGTGTTCTTCTGTGTTGCCACTTCATACCAGGACAGACAGAAAGTCTCCACCAACGCACAGTACATCTCCACAGCAGCACGACGCCTGTTTTTATTTTGTCATGTTTGTTGTTGCTGAGCGCACATCGGATGTCGCCGTTCGTTACACGTGTTCAAGCCTGCGGTGGGCCAGGTGGATGAGAGTGAGTGTCTCCTCGAGAGTTCATGCCGTGTCTTCTCGAGCCTCTCTTCCTTTGTAGTGTACCTCTCTCTCTGTTGCATTTTCGCCGTTAGGGTCCCAATAATATCGAATGTCAACGGCAATCGTTTTGCATCTTGCTGAGCAGCCTAGGAGGCTACCCGTGTACCCGGCTGCCGCATGTGAGGCGATGGGCGCCGCCTATTTCCGCCAAGCAATGTGCATGACCCCTACGGTTCGCCGCACATGCGGTGCCGTGTGACAACTTCCAGCCGTTCAGAGCGGCGACGGTGTTTTTCGCCGGTAGGGCCCCAGAACAACGCGAACCGCGACTGTTTCATTGTTTTGAATCCCTAACCCCCACTCACCAACCCATCCATGAATTTCAGCAGTTTTCGTTGGAGGGATGTTTCTCTTGTCATGTCCATCACGTGGTGCCCCGAGTGAGTATGGTTCGGTAGGGAATCGCAAACCATGACCCCTCCCCGAGTTTGAGCATCAGCTACGGCCTCCTGTGACGGCCAAGAATACCCGAAATTGTCTCGCCATCCAAACAACAGTCGGCCAGTTGAAAAAAAGAGGGTCCGGTCCGCCGAAGGTTTTGTTTTTTGTGTTTCCCTGCCGACAAATAGTCTAACCTCGGCCACGGCAGTGCAAATCTCATGGCGCCTCAAGTACGGTTCCGTAGGGAATTGCAAATCACGACCCCTCCCCGACTTTGAGTATAGCTTCCACCTGCTGCGGCGGATAAGACCGACGTTACAACCTAGATTTTGTCTGCCGTAGAACAGCAGTTGGAGAGTCACAATAAGGAGGGTCCGCTTCGCCACCAAGAAAACAGCTTTCTTTTCGATTCTTCTCCATGTATCGGGTATAGATGTGGTTGAGCTTAAGGGATAGGGTCTATGGCAGCATAATCTATGCGAGGAGCTAACGCCTTCCTCGCATAACGATGCGCATCTCCCACGGCAAGCAAAATGAAGTACGTCATCATTTCGCTATTTCTTGTGACTGTAAGTTCAAGTTCGCCCTGGCGCTACTGTTCTTGCCGGAGAAAGAGACTAAACTTCTATTACGTACCAGTCCGTGTACCCGGCTGCTGCATGTGAGGTAGCGGGTGCTGCCCCTGCTGTTTGCTGCGGTACATGGAAAGCTTCCGGTGGGTCAGAGCGGCAAGGGGTCTTTTTTCTTCACTTCTTTCTTAGCTCTGCTCTCCTCTACCTCTTTGTTTCTTGTCGCTGGCTGTCTCCCTTTTTGTATCGCTCTTCGTTCTTGCTTGCAATTAACTGTGGGGAATTAAACTGGCTGAGTCTGACTGTTTCTTCGGGTCCCCCGCCCACCCACGACCCACCTGTCGGTACGATTCGTGGTCTCCAACATTTTCAGTCGTAGTTGTCTGCTACAAGACATGCGCTACTACTGCTGCGTCCATGGGTGGGTGCAACAGAAGAGCCTCGGGGACTGGTGGCCTTCTGACCTGATCGCAGAGAGAGGTTTCTGCCACCACCACAATACGACTCTCAAGAAATGTCCATGAAGGAAAACGCAATCTACGCCTCTGCTGTTTTCTTTTTTCCCTCTCTCCCGTCCGGTTCTATCTTTTCGGAAAGGAAACCTACTTGTAAAGGCGCATCTTCTGGGGTTCGCATTCATTTAGTCCCGGATTAATTTCCCAGCGTGCGGAGAGCGCGTTCTGGTGCAGTCTCCTTTTCATTCGGGTGTGACGTGCGTACTACATGTAGGTAAACGAAATAAACAAATCAAGGAGATGATTGGCGGCATTCTTGAAAGCATGGAGTCCCTCGCCACAAAAAAGTGTATGCGCATGGATGGGCGTAGTGAGAAGTGCCGGTCGAAAACTGACGTTTTTTTCGGGTGCGCGTGAGGTCGCCTCTTACATTCTTTTGCTTTTCTTTGCTTTATTGTCCAGTCTATGGTTGGGCTGAGTCTTACGGCGTGATTGTTCGGAGAATTTTTTTGCTCTCTCGATCGGGGACGGTGGCCTGCACGGGAAAAATTATCAAAATCCAAACTACCGTCTCACGGTTCCTCGAGGAATATTTTTTTCCGAGGGGAAAAAAGAGGCTGATTCATGTTGCGAGTCACATCATGCTTCAGTACACGGTTTTGGCTCGTGTGCGACCAACAAGAAACCGAGCGCCCTGTTTATGGCTCGCCTGCAGAGGGCATGTGCATCATCGCACGCCAATGGCTGCAGTTTGTGGATGTCGTCGGCCAAAGGCCTCTCGCTGATGGCATGCATTGTACACTTAATACACTCGAAGTTAAAGTGGACGGAAGCCGCGAAGGTGGAGGGGGGAGTACCCTGGCATGCGGCGGTGCTGAGAGGTTCATGACCTCCTGACACGAAGGAAGAAGAGGCCAGTCGACAACGGGCGCTCAAACGAAACCACAAGCCACCAACCAATGGGGCGGGAGGGGGGCAGGAGACGGACGAGACGGCGAGGGAAGGAAGCAAACGAGATGAGACGGACCGAGTGACGCGATACGTGCCGGATTGAATTTTTTTGGCCAATTCCCCCCCTCCAACGCTGCACCCCCCCCCCGGTATTTCGCATCGGGGTTGGGGTTTTCGTCGCTTGGCAACGACGTTGTAAAACAAGCCGCCCCCCCCCCGAGGTTCAGTAGGAAGGGAGAAGTTGTCATGGTGGGCGATTTCAACTCCAGAGTAGGGAAAGCTTCCAGTAGAGGACAGGCGATCGGGCAGCACGGAGAAGACAAAGTGAATGACAACGGAGTGAGGATGCTTGAATTCTTGGGAAGCAACGAACTGATGGTGTTGAACGGTAGGAGGGAATGCGATAAGCCGGAGTTCACAAGGCAACGGGCAGTTTGCAATGAATACTCAATCCTCGACTACATCCTGGTAGACAGGGGGAGCACGCAGATCCCAGAGCTGCACATAAGTGCGACAGATATAGGTTCGACCGACCACTTCCTCATATGGGCAAACAT